TCCGCCTGCAAGCCCTCTGCGGTGCCTGGCACTGAACCTGCTGTCGACGGCGGACCGGACGGTCCCGCCGGGCGGGACCCTGGTGCCGTAGCAGGGACATAGGCAGCACCGGTAGGGACCATGGCCAGCTCCCTAGCCGCGGCGCTGACGTCCACCCGCGGCGGACTGTCGCCTCCAGCGCCCGAGGCCTCAGGGACTAGCTCGGAGTCCTCTTCTTCTTCTTCTTCATCTTCGTCCTCCTCTTCGGCGTCATGGAGGAACTTCATGACTTTTCGCCAAAGAGCCGCCTCTTGCTCTGGCGTAGTGCTGACCCCATCCCGCTTGGACAGTGGACGGCTGCCAGTCTCCCTACGCCACTTAAGCCAAGCGACGTAGCCCATCCGCTCGGGATAGGGAACGTCACCACCCTCGATCGCTTCGAGGAGGGTGACGCCCTCGGCCTGACCTGCAACCTCTGCGGACATCGCCGCGCCTTGGTTAGCAGGCCGCAGGCGTGGCACACGAAGCGCCGCGCCTTGGTTAACAGGCCGCAAGCGTGGCACACAGTCCACGCGTCCAGGTCACGGACCGCGACAGACAAGCAAAGCAATGCTTGCCCACTCGGGCCGTAGGCACAAGAGCTGTACGAGTTTCCCAGAACAGCCCCCAATTGTGAAGTCGACCAGCACTGGACTTGCACTAAGCCAATGCAATCACAGCCCGGTCATGGTGTTTTATGACTTCGCGAGTTCAAGCACTTGTGCAGCTACGCCTGAGTGCGTCCGGTCGGACCGCACAGCAACCTAAGAGCTACTGTACGACACTACCGTGCTCAAAGGCACAAGCTCGGTACTTGAGCCAAAAACATTGGCATTGTTACGAATTGCAAAACTACACATGCAAGGGAAAACAACAAGCTGCACTGGCACTAAGCAAGCACTCCATGCATGCTTTGACCTGCTCACAACTATGTTATACTATATTATATTATTATTATTATTATTATTATTATTATATTATACTATACTATATTATACTATATTATACTATATTATACTATATTATACTATATTATATTATATTATACTATATTATACTATATTATATTATATTCTATCATTTTATATTATATTGTATTATATTATATTATATTATATCATATTATATTGTACTATATTATTATACTATATCATTATACTATATTATATCATATTATACTATGGTATAAGAACTAACCACCCAAAAAAGGACCCCTCATTCCCGGAAACCCACAATTTTGTCTCCTAAAAGGGAACCATCAGATTTGTCAGTAGGCGATTTGGCCTGTACAGACCTGGTGTCAAACCCTAAACCCTAAACCCTAAACCCTAAACCCTAAACCCTAAACCCTAAATCCTAAGCCCCATTGGATTTGGCAGCTTTGGCTTCGAACGTGCCTTCCTTACGTTCGCCCCCTTGGTCTGACGGCTTTTTGTGCCGTCCCCTCTGCCGATAATGATGCAATGGGCCATCGCAACTGCCGTGGCCTACCAGTTACTCCTCCAGGCCGCCCTGTCATGGGTGCAAAATTGTGATTCCCATTTCGGTTCCGCAAATACAAGGGGCCGTCTTATCTTGGGGGCCCAAAAGGGGAGCATAATTTTGAAAGGCTACCACACATGTAGTCGTGAGGAAGATGTGGTAAAGCCAGTTCCTCGTGATCCAGCACATCATTGGTGCGCTTTGTCAACAGGTCCTACCGTCAAAGCCCTTCTAAGTAGATTGTGACGGGGTTAGTGTGACATGTTCTCGAAACTTGCCTTGCCAAAAACAGAGACCCAGCACCGCCGCTCAAGTGGAAGACAACTGCACAGGGCGTAGAAGCACGTAATCCCCTCCCCCAAAAAACAACTCCCCCAATAATGTCTGTATACATATATATATATAGACACGAATATATTCTTTTAGTACTAGATGATATGATGGGCCGACATTTGTTAATAATGGGGTGTCGAAGAGTGCCGGGTCATAGCAGCGCAGCGCAACAGAACCCCAAATGCTGCGCAGGCCAGGCGCCCAGATGAAAGCCAATAGTTCCCTCTTAGAAATAACCCTTCTCCAATAATTATACAATATACCCCCAACCCCTAAACAGGAACCCCCATCCAATAATGACACATGTTTCCTTCCATTCCCAAGATATAATCCCCCTTAAGTAGATAGAATGTGGGGTATATGGGGATCTTACTATAATATAGCCAAAGCCATATGCTACTTAAGGGGGACCATATCAACTTTCTGAGTTGCAAGCACGACATGTCAACTTTCGCGGGTCCTTACTGCAAAGCATGTCCTTGAGGCGTGGCCCAAATCATATGAGCCGTAGTCTTATTACTCCTTAAAGGGGGTATAGAGGGGATTATATAGGGGACTACAACCATCCGCGCGCACGTGAGATGCGACAGAGCGCAAACCACAAGAAATGACCCGACCCAGCGCATCAAAAGGATCAACGTTGCAGCATAGCATGAAAATGATTCAGAAAATCCAGATAGGTAAACCTAAGTGGAGCGAACCGGAGTGGGGTTTCCGCAGCCGCTCGTGACCTTCCCCTTGCAAGTCTCAGTGGCGTTTCTGCAGGCAACTTCCTACAAGTTTGCCACGGAGCCACATGAGCCACTATGCCCGCGGTTTGTGCCTTGCTGGGTTCCCCAAATACTGGATGAAGCAAAATAACGGGGACCCAAGATTGCAAAACTGGGTTTCGGTTAAGGAACTTAATTTCCAAGCTACTATTCATCTTGAGGAAACCATATTGTTTACCATATATACCCACTATGGTAACTTAGTTTAAGTTCCTTAGAAGCAACGCAGTTTGGAAGACCTACAAGATGCAGCCGTCCAAGAGAGGGTCTCTCAAGTTCATGTTGGTGGAACGCGGTTTCGGGTTTAAGTTTCAGGGCAAGTTGTTGGATCTTTCGAGAATGACTGAATGGAACAGAACATGGAGACGAACATGGAAATTGCAATAATGGGTTATGTAGGGGGACTTCCCTTCCTTCCTAGCTATCCAAAGGCCAATTTTGCTGCCTTTGGGGGATGTCCAAGTGGTAGTTTAACTTTGGGGGCCCCCCCAAAATGGTAATTACCCCTACCTTTGGAACCCTCAAGTAGGAGCCCGAGGCCATCTTGACTTGTTTTAGGTTTAGGGTTTAGGGGTTTAGGGTCGGGGTTTAGGAACCCTAAGCCCTAAACCCTGAAACCCTGAAACCCCTGAAACCCCTGAAACCCCTGAAACCCCTGAAACCCCTGAAACCCCTGAAACCCCTGAAACCCCTGAAACCCCTGAAACCCCTGAAACCCCTGAAACCCTGAAACCCTGAAACCCTAAGCCCGAAACCTGAAACCCTAAACAAAAACCCTAAAGCCCTAAACCCTAAACCCTAGACCCTAAACCCTACTTTCCGGACATGCCCCTAAATCCAGCTCCCAACACAGCACCTGCCGAAAAAAGCCCCTGGACTGAGCGTCGCATGTAGAAGTTCGGGAATTCGGGTTCTAGGGTTTCAGGGTTAAGGGAGCAGGGTTTAAGAATTTAGGAGTTCAGGGTTTCGGGTATTCAGGTCTAAGGATTTAGGGTTTAAGGGCTTTAGGCTTAAAGTGTTATCCCCCCCAAAGGCCTATTCAGTTTGATGAGCCCCTACATGAGTTCGACCTGAGGCTGTGTTATGACGAGACCCCCGACTGCCAGCAGCTGAAAGAGCTGTGGGGCTGCGCAGGCACATGGCGCGAGAAACTTGGGCCTTGCACTGAAGGGTTTCCATTGGGGGTTTAGGGTTCAGGGATACATTTTGGGGTCTCCCTTGGGAGGCCTATGGGCAACCCCCAAACACCCCAACAGTAGGACCCTATAGTCATAAGATGATTCTAGAAGTCCTAACCCCAAGCCTAAACCCTAAACGAGGGGGGTCCCAACTTGGAGGGGTTGGGGCTACCAAGATCCTCTTAATGTCCTTGCGGTAAACTCCCAGGGTCCTTACAACGGGGATTGTCTTGCAATATGGGGGTATATTGTGCTCATAGGAAAGCCAGACAGTCACAAGTAAGCTTTGCCTGTGGTACCCTATATAGCCAGTACAGTGCTAGCAGCTAGCTATAGCCCTGGCAGGTGAGGCAGGCATTTGTGTTGTTTAGCTGGTCACAGGATCCGGCTGCATTATATTTGAAGCAATCTCAGCGCAGCGTTCCGCAAGGATCCGTGGAGCTTCGCGATAGCTTCCATCATTTTTAGAAGAAGTGAGCAACTTTGTTCCGTCCATGATATTCTAGAAGTTCTTGAAGAACATGTCCGAAGAAGTCTGCAGACGTGTGTGTGTGTGTGTGTGTGCGTGGAGAGAAAGGCACCAGGTCATGCTGCTGCGTTCGAGCTAGTCAGGTGGTGCGAAGCACAATTGCATGCTTAGCCAGCCTACAGGCATCAGTCCCGGGACAATCAGCCATTTTTCCACTCCTCCCAATACACCACCTATAAAATTTAGTAGTCCCTAGAGGCACTTCCGCCCCTTCAGATGACATTAAAAAAAGGACACCCACTCGTGATGAAACTTCACCGTGTGGTATATTACAAGGAATTGGCCTGCGACTGTCGCCTGCTTTGAAGGATTCAAGCTGGCATTCTTCAACTCAGCACGCTCGGAAGCTCCAAACCCCATAGCCTGAGCCCCAAACCCCCAAGCCTATAAGCCCTAAACCCTATACCCATAAGCCCTAAACCCCAAACCCAAGAAGCCTGAAACCGTAAGCCAAAAACCCAGGAAGTGCCCTGGCATGAAGCCTCCGGACGGCGACGGGGAGGACTCCCTGAAGACGTTAACTTTTACTGCAGCTATTATTTCTCTGATGACTCGTTTTCTTTACTCGTACTAGTACTATTGTCATGATGGCTACTGTAGTACCAGTACAATTTGTATTTTACTATGACTATTCCTAAAAGTGCTATTTTTGCTATTCTTACAACTGTTTTTACGATTCTTTCAACTGTTATGGAGGACTCCCTGGACGTCACCGTGGCTACCATTTGCCCCGCCGACTGCCCGGATGGCGAGGGGGAGGCCGGCAGCTCTCAGGGTCCCTTTACAAAGGATTGCTGGGTCTGGGGGCTTAGTAGGGAATAAGGGAATACATAACAGGGATTCTATTCCCCCATTCCCTATTACGAACCAGGAAGACAAGGTGACAGCTCATGTCCATGGTTTTTTGACCCATTCTGAATGTTGAAGATGTCCTCCGCCTTCAAAAGCAAGCTTGCAACCCTACGTTGGCCCAACAAATTCTGTAAATCTAGGGTTTAGGGTTTAGGGGGAGGTGTTCAGATGAGCTCGGGTGAACATCTATGAGCCGAGCAGAACAAAAGGCAGCTTGTCGCCGTGTAGCAGTGAGGCCTGCCTTTGAGGCATCACGGAACGGTTCGTAATTTCAATGCACCGTGCGCTTGTCAGTCATCAAAGCGTGGTTAATTAGTTTGCGCAAGTTCCGGATACAGGAGGCTTGCCCCATGGCGATAGTTGTTTTCATTTTCTTTTCCATTATCCCTACAAAACCCTAAACCCTAAATGGGAACATCCCACTTTCTTTAGCACTATCCCTATACCCCTATATAACCGCATTATCACCAACATTCAAATTGTGCTGGAATGTCGTGCGTAGTCCACGGTGAGCTTATCAGAAGTTTCCTCAACCATTTTTCTCGGCCGACTCAAGCACAGTCAGAATAATCATGCTAGTAATAACACCATTTTTCGAAATAGTAGAAATTCAACACTGATAACACTCGTGCTAGTAGAAACATCAATAATAATAGTAGTTGTACAATATTGATGCTATTCGTGATATCAGCAACAGCAGTAGGCAAGCTTGACGGCAACACGGCCAGGCCACCGTTGATCTCGTTGTTCAGGCCGGGGTCCTTCACAGCAGCATCCCAGTAACGAAGCTTCAATTCTCAAGTGCTCTCTATACAGATGGGAGGTGCTCAAAATTATGGGTCCCTCTTTTGGTTTATAGAACAACATTTTGCGGCACCTAGTTTTTAGGGATACCGAAATGATATTCTAACTACTTACGGGGGACTGTAGGCAGAGGGAGCCCTGTGATCTTCATCTAATGAGGGCCCTAATTAAGATTGAGGCGCTTTAAAGAGTGGGGGTTTATTGATCATCGGTCTACATTGAGCCCTACGACCATTCCACGCATCATCAAATCGCTGGGAAATGGAGGCGTGTTCCGTATTTTGTTTGGTGATATTAAGCTACCCAATATAGGGCAAGATTATAGTTCCCCTTAAGAAGATAGAATATGGGGTATATGGGGATATTATGATAAAATGCCCAAAGCTATATTCTATCTACTTAAGGGGGACTTCAGTTTTTTGAATCATCTTACTTGGCTCAGCCCAACCAAGAAAAACATGGTACTCGGGTGCAGTGAGCGACAACCTGCGCGACTGCATGAAGCCCAGCCTCCACGAAGTGATCCGGTTTCGGGTTTAGGGTATAGGGTTTAGGGTATATCAAGGTTTCCAGAAATTAGAGGTGCCATTTTTGGGTGGCCTTATCATCGGGATGTTCATATGCTTGGGAGTAGAGTCCCCCTTAAGTAGTTAGAACATGGCTTTGGGTATATAATGATAAGATCCCCATATACCCCACATATATATATATATATATATATATAATAGTAGCTTCCAGCATCTTTTCCATTATCCCTAGATACCCCCTATAACCCCTATGTATACAGCTATAGTCTAGCTACCTAAGGGGGACTATAGGTAAGGGGACCCTGATTTTTAGAAGCTCCCGTGCCTGGGTTCCTGTTAAGGAATTTAAACGGGACTTTCCCAAATTTTTGGGGGTCCTCATAAGGGTTATAGTATATTAAGGTCTACCCTACATACTCTTTGTAGATGGTAAGTACTGGGTCTTCCCATTCTATAAACCCCTAAACTCCCAAAACCCTAAACTCCTAAAACCCCTAAACTCCCTAAAGCCCTAAAACCCTAAACCCCTGAAACCCCCCAAACTCCTAAACCTCTAAAACCCAGACAAACTCCTAAACTTCCTAAACCCCTAAAAGCCAGACAAACTCCTAAACTTCCTAAACCCCTAAAACCCAGACAAACTCCTAAACTTCCTAAACCCCTAAAACCCAGACAAACTCCTCAACTTCCTAAAGCCCAGACATGAACCCGGCCAGGACGAGATGGCCAAGGCCAACGGGTCCAAGGCGATCGCACAGGGCGAGGTCGCAAAGATGAACAAGATGCTGACCTGCTTGAGGCAGATCTGTCAGTTTGTGGTTTAGGGATTAGGGTTTAGGGATTAGGGGCTCAGGGGCTTAGGGGCTCAGGGCTTAGGGTTGAAGATGCGGATGCAGATACAGCACTCGGGGTCAAAGGGACGTAATGATTGCAATCCACTCCCGCTTGGACGATCCCTGACGTAGCAAGTCTGCTTAGTAACCAGGGTTTGAGATGTAGGGTTAAATGCGGATGGTACCGTCACAGGGGTCTGATACTGCCCGAACCCTTACATATCTCCTACCCCAGAAGGACCTTACATCATATTATGTGTCGCTATTCGCTTCCGGGTAGAGTCCTAAACCCTAAACCTAAACTCTATATTCCGAAACCCTAAACCCTATAGTCCTAAACCCTATATTCCCAAACCCGAAACCCAAGAGTCCTAAACTCTAAACTCTAAACTGAACTAAGGGGTTCCCTGAAAACCTCGGACAGGAAGCGGATGAAGGCTGCCCAAGACATGGGATCCCTCGCAGAAACACGGGAGCTCCTGGCGGTGATCCGAGGCAGGGTTGGGACCAAATCCTTCTTAAATCCAGGGTGTAGGGATTTAGGGATGTAAGGTTTGTGGTTTAGGGGGTTGGGACCGAATCCCCCTTTTAACCCCTTATAAAACCTTATATTAGGCTCATGAAGGGTTATATAGGTTAGTTTTAGGGGTTGAGGGGTTTGGTGTAGGGTTATATAAGGTTATGCCTATATTAGGTTTACAGAGGGGGTATATGTAGGGTTCTGTAGGGTTATATAGGTTTATGTAGGGATGATGAGGTTTACGTAGGGTTATATGCTTTGTTTATCACGGGTTAGGTCGTCCAGCTTCCTTAGAGGGATGGTTCCAGGCGAGACTGCCGCGAAGATCACGCCAATCAAGGACAACCAGACTGCGGCCGCTGTGGATATGAGTGCGCGCGACGCTGCGCACCACTTGGTGCAGAAGGAGTCACATTGGTAGGCTTACCAAAATATTCTAGTCCTTATTGTAGGGACCCCCAAAGACGGTTCCCCTAAGTTTGGCAAACCCCCACATGATCATTAGGGTGCCCAAGCAATGTCTTTGGATTGGATGGGGCTGCAGCGTTTCCCAGTGCAGCGAGCTTCTGTACTGAAAGCATGTCCAGATCTTCCTTTAGTAGCATGTGTGTACGCAACAATGTGCACAACCTCGAGTTCAACTGAAAATTCAATGATGTAAACTCTGGGGTCGTGTCCTTGCCGCACTTCAGAAAGCAGGATACTCAGAGGATGCTCAGACCTCGGCCTCCGTAAGAAATCCTAACCATATCCAAGATCAGGGATAAAAGCTCCGACGGAATACCAGCTTGGAAGGGAAGGGCAGTGGCAGTCCACGGTCACTTGCCACCTTGGACCAAAATCAGAGGGCATGCGTGTGCTGTGACGCACGCATCCGCAGGAGTTTGAGGATGATGAGAAGGCGACTCGGCTGTCCTTGATATCCAGGCAATCTGGTGCAAATCTCCGTGTTCAGTAGGTCCTGGTGCCATGAGAGTAGCATGAAGTCCTGTCTGACCCCCTGCCGTACCAGCGAGTCTTGGTGCGGGACCGGGCTTGTGTAGCACCATGTTGGAACGCACCCGGATTGTCGCAATTCGGGCTTACTTTGCTTGCAGACTTCCGCAGTGCCTCGCGCACGTGTGGTCGCCCAACTCTGCCCAACCTTCGGACCACGCCCAGCCCGGCACCGAAGAAGACCCTTGAGCAGTTAGTTGGGTACTGTTGACAGACGCGAACAGCACGATGCTCGAATAAGCCATTCCTCGTGCTCTGAAGCGAAGGCATTGCAGAAGATTAAGCTGACTCCAAAGGCCGTGGAGAACTTCGCCAAAGAGGCACCTTCCAGGGCACCTTCCAGTCGAGACAGCCAGGGATGCTACTTGGATGTAGGCTTGAACCCTGAACCCTCCCCCTCGCCTTTTGGCAAAACATGCTCTCCCACCAACATAGTCTGAGCTCCTTAAAGGCAGGTTAAGAAGGGGATTCTGTATGGGAGTATTAAAGGGTGTTATATCGGCTGTTGTAGAACTTGTGTGTGGGGGGGGGGGGGGGGGTGGGGTGTATTGTAGGAGTCATTAAGGGGAATACTACAACTTAGTGGCCTGCTACCCGCCTCTATACTACCCCCCTGCAACCTTTTAACAATTAATGTTCATTCGAGGAGAACCTAGGGGGGAGTATTGCGCTGGGTGGGGGTGGAAGGGGTAGTAAGGAAACCCAACTTTGTTAAGCCTTGCAATATACACAATTGCCCCTTTTCGAGGACTGTTAGTGTATGAGGGCTGAGCCTAAGGGTAATGTTTGCACTTTCATTTTATGCAAAGACAATGTAAGCCAAAAAGGCTAGCGTTCAGCAAGCCCTAAGTACTGGACGCCGAGATTACTCGTTGAGCTAATCTTCCCTAGCCCCGGGTTATGTAAGGATAGCATGGGAATCATGTTGGCACTATTCAAGTCCTATATTAAACCAGACCATTGCTGCACATAACTTTCAAGTTTCATATTCCAGAACTCAGTAAGGTATATAAACAACACATGGTTGTATATTCCAATGAGGAACCAGCAACAGTCTCAGCTGACCATTCGCGCTCTGCCTACGCCAGGTGGAAGCGTTGGCGACGATGTGCAAGGCCTGTGGAACACATCTGATCCATCTTCTGCCCCCTAAACCCTAAACCCTAAGCCCTAAGCCCTAAGCCCAACCCTGAACTCTGAACCCTGAACCCTGAATGCCTTAGTCCTTAAACGGGAGGAATATCAGGGATTGTATAGGGTTCCTAGTACAGAGCTTCTTAAGGTGCATGTCAGGAAATCAAGACGACAGCTCGCCTGATACATTGCTGCTAAGTAAGAAGAACCCAAGTTATGCTCGGGTGATACTGTGTAGTCCCTTATCATACGTATAGAGAACGTTAGAGTTCGTAACATGCCTACGTATGATCATTATTGTTCCAGAGCACCTTTTGCGGGCTAGCAAGTGCTTGTTGTGGAATCGTTTGTTCTGTCAGAGGTGACACTGCGTTGCATGCTGCACTAGGGACATAATCTGAAGTGAGCTTCGAGCGGTGTAAGTAAATCCGCTCAGGACCGTGGTTGACTGGACACTACTATTCTTACTAGAAGTATCATTACTGGTAGCCGTTGAGGAACTTAATTTAACCCCATTAATTGCTAAAAACACCCAGTATGGTAGCTGAAATTAAGTTCCCTTAAATCCCTATATTCCCCCAGTTTCCAGTTCATGTTCCATCTTCTTTTCCATTTGACTCTCCATCATTGGGGTGTACCCTAAACCCTAAACCCAAAAAACCCTGACAGCAACCCAGGAAACAAGGTAGCTTTGATGTAAGTCCCTTAACAGCCACCCAGATGCTTGTGTCAGGATGCTGCTGAGGCTGCTGCCATTCGCAACACAGCTTCAGCTTCAGAGCCCGACTTCTTTTCCAGCCTTGTCCAATTGGGTACTGCGGGAGCCTACAGAAGTAGTAGATCCCTGTGCACTGATAGTCCCTCCTTAAGTAGATAGAAGTATGGGGTATATGGGGATCTTACTATAACATGCCCAAAGCCACATTCTATCTACTTAAGGGGCACTTTTGAATAAAGCACGCCGATGGGCCGCCATGTTAGTGTTGTGATGGGCAGCAGTTCAGGGTCGAGGGCTTGATGCACGCATCACTTGTCCCAATTGTTCAGACTCATAAGGGAGTTTCCCAAGAAAATCTGGGGGCCCCAATATAGACTATTGGGGTCTATTTTGGGGTACCCTAATTTTGGCCCTCGTAAGGTTTTGTTCAGCCTTCAACCGAACAGTGGTCCGGCCGCAGAGGTGGCGGGATGCAGCAACGAACTGGCCTTGAATCCATGCCCGACAAGCTATAGTCCCCCTTGAGTAGATAGAATCTGGCTTAAAAAGATCCCCCCCCATATTCTATCCAAAGGGGGACTATACTCAGCCCTCCCGGAGGGCCCAATACCCCTCAATTACGAATCTACCCTGAGTCATACTTTCGGATGTAATTCAGGGCGGAGTCCGTGTTGGCTCCTTGGTCTTGTCTGTTCTACTCCCAGGCAAGCTGCAAGAAGACGCGTTGACGTTGATCAATGAGACTCTTGGTGTGGTCTGGCCCTTGCGGTGTTTGGCTTATACGAGTAAGAACCATTATAATCGTAGAAATAGTAATAGTAGGAATGGTAGTCGCAGTACTAATAGTATAACCTAGGTGGACCCCCACCCAGTCAAAGTGACTATAAGGGGTCCGGGATTTTGCTAGGGTCCTCTTGTATTCCTATTTTGCCACTATTACAGGGTGCCGGGTCCTCCTAAAGTCTTATTTCGTCTTGCCCCTGGAAGCCATGAAGGGTGTTCTGGCTGCGGAACCCTAAACCCTTAACCTTGAATCCTTAACCGTGAAGCCTGAACGCTAAACTCTGAACCCTTGTGAAACTCACCCTGCATAGGACCCCCTAAATACTGGCCGAGGTCGTATCTCCTTACTTTTTGTCCCTAGTTTCCCTAAACCCTAACCCTAAACCCTACACCCTACACCCTACACCCTACACCCTAAACCCTAAACCCTTCGTTTGTCTGCACACTTTCCTCCGACGAAGGCGCCGTGGAACCAACAGCAAGACAGTGCTGCGTAGTTACCGCCTCCACAGCTCCTCGAAAACCCTGAGCCCCTTACCTCCCAAAGCCTTAAGCTTAAATTGTAAGCCTCTATCATAGAGGTGGGAGAAGCATAGGCTGGGCCTCAAGCATGCGCATGGTTCGGGGGGGGGGGGGGGTTGGGGGGCCGGTGCATGTCTTTGACCCTCTGAGACTTCATAGGAGCCAGCGTCTCAACTCCGAGTATCCCTCTTAATATCCCCCGACAATACTCCCCTACATAAATTCCCCTATCTGACCCCTTTTAAGGAGTTGAATAACCCTAAACCCTAAACCCTATATAATCCCCCTTAGATTATCCCCCTTTTAAGGAGTTTAGACTACAGCTCATAGGGCTTGAGGCTGTTTGAGGTGCTCCGCCAAGTTGCGCTGCTTCCACCATTTTCAAATATTGGGGGTCTATTGAGGGTTATACAGGGATAGTGGAAAAGAACATGGAAACTGCTAAAGTGGGTACTATCGTACAAGATTTTCATGGCAGCTCGAGTCAAACATTTGTCAATCTACAGCTTAGTAGGGTTTATTCCTGTGCGTGTGTGATGGGGGCCGGTCACCTGCAACAGGAATGGGAAGCCCACAAGCCCGGAATCGGCAGCCACTGCCGACGCCATCACCGAGAGTGTGAAGGAGAAATGCCATGCCAGGACAGGGCTTGACTTGAGCCATAGCCTAAGCTCCTTAACCTGGGGATTATGTCGGGATTATATAGGGACTAGTAGAGGGGTATAATGAGGGGGATACTGGGAGTTTAGACAGTAGTTCACTCTAAAATGGTAGTTTCCAAGCATTAGAGCCCCTCTGTATGCCCTACATATTGCTGTAAACTCATTAGTTTCCAAAGATAAAGGCTCTTCTATATACCCTGCTAGAATGAACCAAGCGACCCATAATTTGGCAACTTCCAGATGCACTTTGTGAATGGTGACGTGGCTTCCATCAATACTAGAACCCCAATATCTACCCTCGGGTTTAGAGTTTAGGAGTAGTTTCCATATGCCTTTGCATCTTTTGTTTTTCAGTCCTAATGTATTCCTTGATTCCCTACTAGCCTTCCAGTAAGGCTATGGTCTACAGGTGTGACGCACGTGTGCACGTGTGCCTCCATGCCCAGGTTTTTTGGGTTCACGGTTGAGGGTCCCACCACGTAGAAACTAGCAGCTGTTCTTAGAAATGGTACGAGTGTTTCGTGATGTGCCTACTTCCCTATAATGCTTACACAATGCATATATACCCTCATACACTCCTTCGAAACCCTACATACCTTTAGCGTTTCGTTATGTGCCTACTTAACTCCATGCCTCACTACTCTTCAATTTAAGGAATACAGGGTTTGGGGTTACGGTATACGTGAGGTGGACCCCCCAGCCAGTAATAGTGATTCTAAGGGATATTTCGGGTTTAGGGCTTCGGGGATTATACAGGATAATGGTGATTATACTAGGGACTTCTTTAAATGGGTATAAGATTGCAAAATACTTAAGCTTCTAGAGCATCTCATCATGATGTGCATTGTTTCAGCAAGTTTGGAATGGTAGACCCTAGGCCCCAAACCGTGCTTCTTCCAGCGGATGGCCTTGCAAGCCCTTGCGCAGCAGCAAGGGCAGCGATCCAGAGGCCCATAGGAATAAACCTTAACTCATATCTTGGGTCTCTACCCTACTCTACCCTACCCTATGAGATTGAGGAAATAATTACTGAGGGTATTTCTATGCTGAAACCAGCCTGAGCTAGGACTGCAGACCCCTGAAGCTTAGCTCCTGGAGCTTTTCAATCATTGCCTGACATCCCCTAGACAGTGGTAGAACCTGAGTGATGGCTTGAGAGCCAAAGGATATAGTCCCCCCTTAAGTAGATAGAATATGGCTTTGGGCATATTGTAGTAGGATGCCCATATACCCCATATTCTATCTACTTAAGGGGACTATATAGCCAGCAGATTTCCTGGCCTCCAACGACAGGACGCTGAACTTGGACTTCTTTGTGGAGCATTCCTCCATGATGGCCGGTGCCCACTGCGGCAGCTCTTTGTTGCAGGATTTCCGAAAAGGGATACCGACAGGGGCTTGAAAAAGATACCGACATACTCCACTCTGATTCCCGAAACAACAATCATAATATGAACCGGAAAGCTTAGCCAAATTCAAAAGAGTCTTACGTTGCTGGCTTTGGGGTACTGTGAACCCTCAAGCCGAAGCGAATGCCTTGATGATGTGGGGGGGGGTGTTCTTACAAATGGGATTACTGGCTTAGGGTTTAAGTTTAAGGTTTAGGGTGTTTAAGGCAGAAAATGGCTGTATAGAGGGGACCCTATATGGGTATCTGGGTTGTTATTGCAGTCTCAGTTGCAGCGCCCGCAGAACCTGAAGTTGGGGAGGAGACGACTCGTCTGCATCCCCCAGACCGCCAGGAGGGCGGCCACAGGAGGTCTCGGAACTGCAAGGTGAGAGGAGAAGGGCGTACGAGCTGTACCGCTGCTGCCGGGCCTCATTGCGACAGAGATGACGCCCGCGGCCAGTCCAGCAGCCCCACCGGCACTTCCGCCGCGGCGGCTACTGCCTCCGCGCCTTTGGCGTTGCCGCTCTTGCTCCTCCTCTTCGCGGAGCTTTCTGCCGCCCCGCTTCTTCGTCTTGCGACGAATGCAACCTTGCATGTCGAGCCTCTTCCTGGGGGCGCTCGGCCGTTGCAAGGTCCCCCTCGTCCGCCTCGTGCTCTGACGCGGACTCTTCCCCATCGTGCGGGTTGGGGACTCCGCGCGGAACGTCAGGTTCCACTCCTGACAAGCTTCGTTGGAACAAAGCCAGGCTGACTGTGCCAGCGCTGCCTGGAGGGCGGCCGCCTGCTCCGCTTTGAAGGCGGCCTTCTCGGCCCGCCTGTGGGCCTTGTCCTCCCTGGCAGCCTCCTCTACCGAGCGGGCGTCTCGCCACGCCTGCGCCTGAGGAGCTGTAGCCGGATCTATCTTCTCAGCCAGCGGCGACCCCACTGCGGTGACCTTGTTAGCTTTGCTCCGGACTTGGTAGCAGAACCAATCACGGACAGCCTTTTCGCACAGCTCCGCTGGGTCTGAGCTCCGCTACACTGCCATCTACGCCCGCGTTTACGAGAACCGCAGGAAGCTACGAAAAGGCAAACCAGCCGACGCTACCGTGCACACTTGGCACTTAGATACAAGCAAGGGCTTGAGCCAAAACATTGTTGGCAAAACTACAAAGTAGCATAGGAAACATGCAAAGCAACTAAGGAAGCTGGCTGCACTCATGCACTGCAGTCTCAAGCACTCATTCATACATAGTAGGAGTAGTAGTAGTGGTAGTAGTCGTCGTAGTAGTAGTAGGAGGAATATGAACAATGATCATGATAGTAAGGGCTCCCATCGCAAGGAGCATCACATGAAGCAGGCCGTTGGGCATATCAAGGAGTTGCCACTTGGCTTCATAAGGTTTAAGGGTTTCACTCGAGTATACTTGGGTTTAGGTAGGGTTCAGGGCTTTAGGGTCAAATCAGGGTTGGACAAGGTTTGGTAGTTTCCCAAATAGCCAATGTAGACCCCAAAAGTAGAGTATCCCAAATTTGCGGAAGCCTCTGTGTAGGGTTTAGGGGAGGGTCTGCTTCTTGTGCCTGGAACTGGAAGAGGCGCTGCAGGAGGGTAGCTCGACTTGAGACTGTCAAGCCAAGCACCACTTGGTAGTTTCCAAAATTTTATGGGACCCCAGTTTCTACCCCAACATGCTAGAATCTTTATTGTAGGGAACCCCAAAAAAGTATGCCGAATTTTGGGAAGCCCTAAACCCCCAAACCCTAAACCCTATATAACTAATCCCTTCCACCCCCTTTGAAGGTACCCCGAATGTTGGGAAGCCCCCGATTTCAGGAACTTCAGGGCCAAAGCGGCGATGGCATTGCACGATGATACCAATCGACTTGGGCATCACATGGCGCTGCGGGGCATGTCTTGGATTCAGCAATCCCTAAACCCTATATAACCCTATATGACCCCATATAACCCTATTAACAACCCCTACATGACCCCATATAACGCTGTTAACAACCCTACCTGACCCCATATAACCCTATCAATAACCCTATATGACCCCATGTAAGCCCATATAAGCCTATATACCCCAAGATACCCCCCAACCATTCACACTCCGCATGTACCCCGGCTCGCAGCCATCCTGTGCCGCTGTGCGCAGTGCTTATAGTCCTCCTTAAGTAGATAGAATACGGCTTTGGGTAGAGTATAGTAAGATCACCATATACCCCATATTCTATCTACTTAAGAGTGACTACAGGCTCTGGGACTGCAGGTCCAGGTTGAGTAAAGATCGAAGCCCTCAATTGCGAAATCTATACAAATTTGCTGGTACGACAGCGCGGGCGCTGGCCCTGCCTGGTGCTGCGCCTTTGCGGGCATTTGGGCCTCCTTCCCCGAGCAAAGTTTTAGACACCCATCATCCTGTTCGTGCTCGGAACGCGTGTACGAGAATGTTTCTTCTCTTCCCCAACGGTCGCGATTGAGTTTCCACAGTTTACTTTCATGGAGGAAAAGCTGCTAACAAGTGCATCCACTCGCTTCGAGCCTTTCGAACCTTCATCACTTTTGCAAGAAAACCTGACCGCGTACGAGATCAGTGACCAATGTTTCGAGTTGCAACCCTTCCTCACAGCAGCTGACACGCCCTTCAAAGAATCTGCACAAGCAATCCCTGAGCTACTTCATTGGTCTGCAGCTGACCTGATGCAATCCTCTGATGCGTACTGCTCCTCAGGTTGTTGACGCGTGCTGAAGCTGTGTGATCGTGCTGCTCCGGTGAAGCTGAGTGTCGCGAACAACTCAACACAGCTGCATGATCTGATGAAGTCTGGCATCCAGCTGCCACATGAAAAAGACAAACAAAAACGAAAAACAAACCAAGCTCCGAGCATCACCAAGACCCAAGCTCCAAACCTAAACCCAGCCACATCCCACCGACCTGACAAAATGATGGGAACGGGGTGGCTCTCGCACTTGGCAGGTGCAGCATCTGCGACGGCACACAGAGCATTCGGGGAAGGATGCACATCGCCCGTCCATATTCCTGTGCCTGGACCAGGGTTTGGGGTCAGCATGCCTTTGGTTCCGCGAATGTTTGGAAAGGTGCAGCATGGGACAGGAAAGTGAGGCTTTAGCTTCTGAGAATGTCTTCCAACAGTGACTGCAGAGAGCAAGAAGCGTTTGTTAAATCAGCTGCTTGCAACAATAGTAATAGTAATAGTAATAGTAATAGTAATAGTAATAGTAATAGTAATAGTAATAGTAATAGTAATAGTAATAGTAATAGTAATAGTAATAGTAATAGTAATAGTAATAGTAATAGTAATAGTAATAGTAATATAGTAGTAATAGCAATAAACATATAGTAATAATAATAGTAATACTAGTAGCAATAATAATACACGAGCGGTAGTATCAGTTATCGCAAACCACTGACGCTGAACATCGGGACCCCCATGCGTCTTGGCCGAAACCACACAAACCCTAAACCCCAAACCCTAAACGCTAAACCCTAAACCCGAGACCACCGAGGAACCACACGCTGACAAGTCTCGTGCACGAGGCTGCAAAGGCGCACTCTTCAGTCACAATTATTATGGTAGTTTCTCAAAAATAGGGGGGACCCCAATATAGACCCCAACATACTCTAATCCTGATTATGGGGGCCCAGAAAAAGGTACCCCTAATTTTGCCCCCTAACCTCAGTTTCAGAAGGAAGTCTATGGCCCCAGGAGAATCGCGACAAAGGCATTGCTTCGGTTTGCAACCAAGACTCCTTCTCAAAGAGTGGTGCAGTACAGCAGCCTGGTGTCGGTAGAAGCCGTTGCAGAAATGCCCTGAGTCATACGGGAGTCTACAGTAGCTAGTAGGAGGCTCCTGGCATCTTCGTGCCTGGTACTCAGGGTTTCCAAGAAGATGAGGGTCTGCTGGTGACAGCCCTGAAGGCCCCGCTGAGTGATCACCAGATCGAGCGCTTGCACCATCTGGACCGCCTTCACTACGCTGAGCTCCACCAAGACCAGGATCGGGACCAGCACTGCCAGGAGAGCGCCTCGCAGGCATGACGGCTCCCTCAACAAAGCTGCTCTGAGGTACAAGTTCAACCTTAGGGGTTTAGGGTTTAGGGTTTAGGGTTTAGGGCCCTGAAAGCTTGATGACTGAGACCTGTTTTCAGCCCCGCCCGGACCCTTGCAGGGTTCGTGAGCTTTAGGTTAGAGAGCGCGCATCTAAGGGGAGCAGATGGCCAGGGATGAGCCGGATCATTGGTCGTTGCACCATGAGGACATCAATGCATACATGGACTCTTGGCTTCGTGTTACACCGAGAAGCCTTGCTTTGTTTTGTTTCTGCCTGCGGAAAAGCGGACCGCAGCCAAACCAAGGACTGTCTCTGCGTCCAGAGGAAGCCATCCCTGGTGTGCGAGGCCGATGGCTTGAAGATCAAAGACCCACACGCTTCCACACGCCGCTTTCGCCGCTTTAGCCCTCGCTATCGCAGGCCATCCACCACGAAGGCATGCTCGACGCAGCAGATCACGCAGTTCAGCTGATGCAGGAGCCCTCTGGAAATTGAGCAAGAGGTTCTTCTAAGACGAAGCGCAAGCGTCATAAGGTTCGGCTTCGTGTGCCTCGCAATGATAACTTGTAAGTCTGCCTCAAGTTCCCAGGAGCACTTTGATGAGCTCAACGCTGACAAGTCTCAGCAGCCACCGATCGCTTGGCACCGTGGCATGTCGGAGCTCCAGACCTATTCGAACAGCAGCCAGGACCTGGATGCGCAGAGGTAGTTTCCCCAAAATAGGGGGGACCCCAAGATAGACCCTAACATTCTAACATACTACAATCCTTATTCTAGGGACCCCCAATTATGGGAGACCCCAATTATGGGAGACCCCATGTCCCAAGCCCAAACCTCGAAGTTCAAGCTCCCTTACCTTTTTTTCTTATAAGGAGCTGAAACTCGATTGTCAGCTAGGGTTGCAAGGACACCTGTAGCTTGGAAAGCCATACCCCTGTAACCTGCCCCCTGAAACATGACGGTTAAACCTTGAGCCGAGTGCTATCATGAAATCGGACTTCTCCAGATAAAGGCTTGCAAAATATGATAGCCAAGTCTTCAGCGCTTTGTTGGTCCGGGCTTTAGGGTATAGGGTTTTAGGGTTTAGGGTGAGAGGGTGAGAGGGTGCCGCAGTTGGACAGGAATTGGGCTTTGCAATCCCGCTTGGACCTTGCGATGCGGATGCGCTTGCGTGCAACGTCTGCGCGACTCGAGCAGACGTTGCATACCGTAGCTAGTATTCCTTATGGGTGGACCCCCTACCTTGTGACAGTGACTATAAGGGAGAAAAGGGATTATAATAGGCTCCTCTTATATTCCGATTATACCACAATTACAGGGTGGGGGGGTCCTTCTAAAGTATTCCTTACTCAGCCCTACACAATCACCTAAAATTTCTGTGGATGATACCTACATCACCAACACCCGCAAATCCTATTGAAATTGAGTAGGCTCCTACCCTAGGCCCTAAACTCTACAAAAAAAACCCTGTTCACCCCTATATCCCCTCCTTGCAAGGTACCCCTAGTTTTGGGAAAACCCTACATGTCCCCCATATAATCCCTGTATAGTACACCAGTTTTAGGAAAACTTAAACTTTACGTGAGCCACGTTGAGCTCATGGCTTGCCATTGTGTCTGCATCCCAGCAACCCTAAGTCCCACCTTCCAACAAAACCGTGTTTAGGGTTTAGGGTTTAAGGGTTAGGGCCCTATAAAGGGTTATATAGGGTTATGCAGGGATAATGCAAAACAAAATGGAAACTACTATATCGGGTTCTATAGGGATATGTACAACCCTACCTAAAGTGCAAGCCGCAATGGGCCCAAACAATTATTTGACTGGAGGGCACGACATGAGCAATGTCGAAATATCTTGTATGTTTTTTTAACGCATCTTGTTATTAACGTTTTCATCATGTACATTCGTGTTGTTACACTTACCTTCTTGTTTGAGATAGGACTTTACCAATAGATAGTTTGAGGGCCTGGAACAACCACGTAGTTGATGGCCGCCGGTTGCAATCCTACGCACTGCACGAGAGAGAGAGAGAGAGAGAGAGAGATGCAGCTTTACGGAGGTGTGCAATAAACCCTAAACCCTAAGCCCCCAACACGGAGGTGCCTAAACTGCAGCTGAGGTGAAGGGTATCTGCCTCTCGGTGCCATTTCCCAAGGCAGGCCGAATCTGCGCACAGCAAGACAGGTTTGCTGTGAGAAATTCAGGTTCTGTTGCAAAAGCAGAAGCAGTGGTGCACTACAAATTCTTAGGATTGCCTGCGTAGTTTTGTTCATTGTACCCATCTCAGCACCTATAGAAAGCTACAGATTCCCCAACAGCAACCGACGTGAGGGTGCGGCCATCGATCGCACGAGGTCATGGACGACAGTGATGCCCCGGACACGCCTGGTGACCAGGCAATGAATGTCCTGGGTGCCTTGAGGCGGGAGATGACGCCAGAAGTGGGATCGTCAGCAAGCTTCACAGGTTAAGGCTTGTTTCTGAGACTTCGGCACCTGGCCGAGTTTCCATGCACCTGCCTCCACATTGCAGGCATCACTGCCTTCTGGGCACAACACAAGCCCACCGGCCGGAATTCGAGCGCGCCTCACTTGTGGTCATTTGCAAGTTTAACCGCAGCCACACCACGCACGCATCAGCAGCCACGTGCAAGATAGCAGAAGTACCACAAAGAAATCTGCGAAACTTCTGATTTTCCATCAGCACTCCCCACCGGACGTGCAGCAAAGACTCCCTTGTTCTAGTTGAATAGGCCCGCCCTGTCTCTCTCTCGCTTTCTCTCTCTCTGACTCCATTTTTCTTTGCTTCTCCATGATTCTACGCAAGTAGGCCCATACATTCTGGCGCCTGCACAAGTCCAGAAGAAAAATTCCCTTCATGGGAGAATCCAGGGAGTATCCATAAGTGAGGCTTCCCTTCATACACCCCCAAAACATATTCAAATCCCTACTATAAGGATCCCCAAAATATAGTATAGTGAATATAATCCCTATTATAAGGTGTGAAGCCGATTAACTCGGTCTTGCAACCCGCTGCAAATGCGAGCAACCATCTGCTTTGCGGCTTCGCAGGTCTAGCTCCGTAGTAGTCCCTACGAGCCCGCGTCACGGTACGACCGCTGAGCAGCTACCCAAAAGCAACTACCAACAATCTACCGTGCCAAAGGCACAAGCGACAACACATACGACTTGAGCCAAAACACGGCATTGAATTACAAGACTGAAAACATGCACTGGAAAAGGCACGGTGGCTGCGGATGCACATGCACTCATGTCAACCCACAGAGGATCCCCCCGAAACCCTAAACCCTAAACCCTAAACCCTAAACCCTGAACCCTGAACCCTAAACCCTAAACCCTAAACCCTAAAATTTTAGAAGCCCCTAATCTCTAGAAGCCAGTGCCCTGCTAGGCAAGGCCTGGAGGCTGCCGAGCAGCCATGCTTCTGGGCTCTCATGTCACATGGGCTATAGTTTAGGGTTTAGGGTTTAGGGTTTAGGGTTTAGGGTTTAGGGTTTAGGGTTTAGGGTTTAGGGTTTAGGGTTTAGGGTCCTGAAAGAGGGTGACGGTGGGGAAATGTGATGAATTTGATGGGGGATACTAAGGGTGATACTAGGCCCCTTAAGTAGACAGAATATTTGGGTATGCTAGAATAAGATCCCCATATACCCCATATTCTGTCTACTGAAGGGGGACTATGGACTATAGCTCACATGGGTGCTTGTCGGGAAACTTGCGCCGCCTAGGGCCCCTTTTTCCTAATATGTACTTGCCGTCCCCCTTGAGTAGATAGACCATGGGGTATATGGGATCTTACTATAACATACCCAATGCCATATTCTATCTACTTAAGGAAGACTATAAGGTGACGCAGGCTAAAAGTGTAGGTTTCCACATTTTCAGCGCTGAATATACATAGACCTGGCCAGATTCCATGCCAGTTTCTTCAACCAAAAGATAGGGTCCCCTTTTGTACTCCAAAATGCTAGGTGCCATGCATCTGTGATCCTAAACGGGTTAATATTTTTAGGGATTGCTGCATTAGTGGGACATCAGCACCTGCTCCACTTGTTCTCAACAGGCACCCCTAGCCCTACACCCTAATCCCTAAACCCCTAAACCTTAGTCTTAAACCCCTAAACCAGACGAACTCACTAAAGGTTTCTTTATCAGTCGGAAACTGTAGAGGTGGTGATATGCCCCACAATGAGAACCGACAGGCTACTACAGGCCCCCCGAGGCAAAGCCCAGCGCAGAATATGGATCCTATGATCTACTACAATACACTGTAACTTGCAACAATCTAACATACTATAGTAGACTATATTATGTCAGAATAGATAGTTGTAAGTTATAGTATACTTACTATAGTATACTATAGTATATTTCTGATAGTATATTGCTGTAAACTAACAGGTCACAGTATAGATCCAAGCGCCACGCGATGAAGGCTTCAGTGTGGACTGTACAGCCTGCATTGGCCTCAAGCCGGCGGACCCGTTGAAGTTCAAGACGCCTGGCGTCAAATGAGCCATAAAAGGGAGGCGTGAGGGAGGGGGGGGGGGTTGTAGAGAGTTTAGGGTTTAGGGTTTGATTAGGGTTCAGGGTTGAGGGTTTGGGGTTTAAGGATTAGGGTTTAGGGTCTGACTGCTTGAAGGGGGGCTGTTTAGGGTTCAAGCGTTAGGGTTTAGCGTCTCAACTCTTTAGAGGGAGTTTCACAAGGGATTATATGCGGGTTTCCCAAAACTAGGGGGGACCTTTTGGGGGTCCCGATAATAAGGACTATAGTGTTTTGGGCTCTATGTTGGGGTCCGCTCTTTTGGGAAACTACCTAGGGGACTTATTGAGGGGGATATCAGGAGTTTAGATTATGGCTCAAAAGGGAGTCGAGCCCCATTAGCCCTGGATTGTTGCACCAAGTGAGCTACAGTCTAAGCTCCTTAAAGGGGTTATGTAGGGGATGGTACAGGGAAGCATTATAGGGGCGATTCAGGGATACTCGGAGTTTAGACTAGGTCAACGGGCATGCCTGCTTCGAATTGACCTGTCACCATGACTCAGCCAAGTCTGAACGTGGGTGCTTCTGGTGCATGCAGCAGCAAACACGCCTTCTTCAGCAGCTTTGCGCTGTGGATCGGCTTGCAGGCTGGAACGGCCTGGCACTTCCATGGCTGAAACGCGTTGTTCTCAACATTCTGGGCCTGTTTTGGTTGCAGGTTCTGTTACGGAGCCTAGAAGTCAGGGGCACCAAGTAGGACCCTAATTTGTGGAACTTCCCACCTTTTCCATGTGTTGCAGGACCACACTGGGGCTTTCGAAATGAGTACTAACTTATCTGGAGATAGAGAGGTTTCATGAAGGGTTATGAACAGTTTAGGGTTTTAGGGCTTGAAGTTTCCGAAAAATAGGGGCACCATTTTGGGGATCCCTGCAATAAGGGTTATAGTATACTCAGGTCTATATAGGGATCCCCTTATTTATGGAAGCTCCCAAACGAGTACTATGAATCTGGAGATGCTCTAGAACCCAAAAAAGCAATCCGGGAGCTTCATGTAAGGCACATTTTTTGGGAAACCATATGAGCCATGATCGAAACTCCTTAAAGAGGGTCATGGGTTATAGGGGTTGTTAAGGGGAATACTAGGAGTTTAGACTATAACTCATATTAAGTCCATTATGGTAACTTTGTCTTTACATGCTTGTGCAAAGTCTGCGAGGGCTCCGTCGCACCAACAGGATCATAGAGGAACGACATTACCAATTATTTCGGCTTCTACAGTGCACTGGGTCAGAGAGCCCGTTGCGTTGCTACTTAAGCTGGGTCATACGAAATAGATGTTTAATTTTTACGAAAACTTAAGAAGATGTGTAAAATATAATGTTCATGTATACCCTAATGAGCAACCAGTACGGGTTCTGGTAGCTTGCAATGCAGGGTCCGGTACCTCCATGGAGGGTCCTAAGTTCTTAAGTTCGTTACTTTCAGCTGTCCCAGAGCCCAGAATGGGCCCTGTGAAAAGAAAAGGGCTATAGATGGTACATTGGGGTCTAGGGTTTAGGGTTTAGGGCTTAGGGTTTAGGGTTTAGGGTTTAGGGTTCAGGGTTTAGGGTTTCAGGTATATTGTGGGGGTCCCCTTTTTGTTGGAAACGACCATTCGAAGGGGCGTTGGCAGGTTTGATCCCACAGTGCTTCCAAAGAGCCCCTGAGCTTAGAGTCCCCGTTAAGTAGATAGCATAGGGCTTTGGGTTTATTGGAAGAAGATCCCCATATATCCCATATTCTATCTACTTAAGGGGGCTTTCAGGGCCTCTTCAGGGATTAGGGATGGCCAGATGATAGAGGTTGTAGTTGGTGACCCCAACCCCCAAAAGAAGGACATTTTGATAATTACATGGCCCTTGCAGACAACAATTAAATCAAAACGATTTGGGTAGTAAAACTCATAGCAGTAACTAGATCAATAGTAGTTATGAACTTAAAGGGGAGCCCTTGTTTGAGGGCTTGTGGTTAACGACGCTTCCTCTTAAGACGTTCCGAAGTTCTACGCGTGGCCGCCCCGCCATGCAGGTTTGTGTCGCTGGTGGCCCCTTGGAAAAACTCCTGAAGCTGATCCGAAGGGACCAGGCCGGATCCATGAGCTTCCTTGAAGATGCTTTCCATATCCCTATAGTCCCCCCTAGGTAGATAGAATATGGCTTTGGGTATATTATCATAAGATCCCCATATACCCCATATTCTATCTACCAAGGGGGGACTTTTCTTCCTGGGGGGTCAGTGGGGAAGAAGGGAATCCGTGCTCTAAGGATTGTATAGGGATTTTATTTTCTTTGGTCTTTAAAACAAGTACCTGAACATTAGAGGCCGTAATAAATTAGGGACCCCGAAGAGGGCCATAAACATAAACTCGCACACCAACAGGACCATGCAAACTGCGTTAAGCTCCGTCAAGGTCCGAACTAGGACGGGTGGCATGACCCTAAACCCTAAACCCTAAACCCTAAAACCTGTCGTAAGGCCCAATTTTCTCCATTCCATAGAACCCGGCACATAACTGCCCAAGCTGTCAACAAGAACTCCGTCCGAAGATTTTCAACGCATTGGGGTTTTATGAGGGTTACTTAGGGGTTATATAGGGGCTACATGATTATATAGGGATTATAGCCTTACATAATGTCCGGCACCAAAACCCCCAAGAAGTAGGTAAACGCATGGTCCCAAGAACCCGTAAAGCCAAAATAGGCCGTAGAAGAATGGCCGAAACCC